GGGGGGGGGGGGCATGGAGCACCCCTCATCCTCCCCCCTTGCATGCCAGATCCAATACTTGCTCTGGCTGGTTGAGGACTGTGCTGCCCTCATTGCCTACTCTCGGACTCCCACTGCATGTAGCACATCCTCACTGGACTTCAGTCCTGGACTGGTGAGAGTGAGTGCTGTGGGTGCTGGATCCTATATGCCAGGGCAGGGATGGCATACCAGTGTCAAGGGCCGAATGATCTGGCTCTGCAGGCTGGATCCAGCCCACAGATCATATCTTTGACATCCCTGTCACTATTGAGATTAATTTTCAGATCTGGGGAAAGGCTGTCAAGCAGGAGAAGACCAGTGACCATTAGGTCAGTCCAGCTCAATGCTCCTGCTACAAGGGAATTCCCCATGTTGCAGCCCACATGAAAGCTCAACATGTTGCTGGATCCTGCCCTGTGCCTTACACAGGGAAGCAGCCAGACACGAGATGCTAAGGTAAGGAGTTCCTGCCATGGAGCCCAGATGCAGTCCTGCGCTGGAGAGGCAGCTGATGAGGTTTCAAGGTCAGCTGGGGAGAAGAAACTCTTGTGGGGAGAGGGAATCTCTTCTCTATGTATACGGGGTGCAAAGTAAAGCTGTGGGAGGGGAGGCTGCTGGAAGGTGAGAAGGGTGACATATAGGGGGAGAAGTGAAGATGCTGGTTTATACAGGGCAAAGTGAGGTGGGCTGTCTGTCAACTTTCCTTTCATCCTTCACCTGGCAAATGTTAAGGAGGACTCTCTGAGTTAAAATGAACGCAACTATACAAGATCCTCAGTCAGCAGTAAAATGCAGTGGACCCTTCTCTGTTTGTATCATTTATTCCTGGAAGGTTAATTGCAACTCACTGTCAATCAAGTCATCCATCCATGCAACCACACTACATGCCTGTCACCTGGCAGTGCTTATCTAGCTTAAAGAGTTATGCCAGGAGCTTAAGAGCTCCTTTTTTGGTTTCCACCTGCTCTTCCCCAGGCTCTTCCTTCCTTTGACTTTCCTTGAAAGTTGGTCTCTTCTTTATTAACTAATTAAGTAATTGGTGACTTTCCTGAGAAATGTCCTTATGGTGCGTCTAACTACAAAAAGTAGAAATTACTTATATTTGTTCCAAAGTTTCTGATCAGATGGGGGTGGGGGGTGGAGCATGTCAAGATTAAATGGAGGACTCCATATGTCTGTGTAGACTTCAGATTAAATCTGCTTCAGTCAAGAAATGGCCACACAGTCAAGGGAAATACAGTTATGAGCATTGGCTACAGGGCTCCTGGTTTCAAGACGAGGCTCCAGAGGGACTCACAGCAGCCTCAGACTTGGTTACTAGCAGGGACTCATGTGGCAGGAGATGGCTGTGCTTTACCAAGGCTTGAGTGGAAGGTATTACAATTCCCATGTAACAACTGATGCACCCCCCCCACACACACACACACACCTAGAGCAGCTCCCTGCCTGGCATAGCATTTAATAAGAGCATATAATGGGATCAGAGAAAAATAGGGCTGGAAGGAGCCTCTGGAAGTCATCTAGTCCAATCCCCGGCCTGAAGCAGGATTATGAACTTCTAGCCAACCCATCCTATACAAGTCCTTGTCTAACCTATTACTAAAACTGTCCTCATCTAACCTATTACAATCAACCCTGTCACAATCACAAGGCATAGCATCCTAACCTGCCACAGGTAAAGCAAGATGACAGTAGTGGCCAACATCTTGTTGCTGCAAGGGCTCTTAAAATATGCTTGCAAGATCCAAGGAAGATGGCCACAACCCCAGTTTCAAAGGAAGACAAAAAATCTCCACTGTCTATACCAGTCTGACCATAGGGTAAAATTCCTTCCTGACCTCAAATGTGGTGATTGCTCTGATACCCTAATTTTAGGGGAAAGAGCCTCTAACTGGAACCTCTGGGATGTGCCTCTGCAGGAGCATTGGCACATCCCGAAGTCCTCAGACTGGACTGCAGCCAATGCCTGATGCTTCTGCGGAAGGCAAAAAAAAAAAAGAGAACCCCATACCCATGTAGCAACAGAAGGGGGGGGAAACCCTTCCCAGCCCCATGTGGCAAACAGCAAAGCCCAGAAGCATGGGCTGGCCTTTGGCCAAGGAAATACAGAATTTAGATCATGGATTCATGCAGGAAAACATGTCTGATTTCCTTGTTACATGCCAAGGGAGCTAAAGCTGCCTCACTCAATCAGACAGATCTTTATGGATGCTGTCTGCACTGCTTGAGGACCCTAGTAAAATCGGGTTGATCCCAAACCTTTCCCGGTATACACTGGGTTCCACGTAAAACTTGCAAGGGATTCTGTAAGACCGGCTTCTTCCTTCGTCCAAAAGTTCTGAGCTGGACTGAGGAAGGAACATCAGCAGCACATTATGCTCACCTTTAAGAAAAACCCCTTACAGGTAAGTCTCTCCTGCAGGAATGAATTGTTTATTGGTAAACCAGATTGTCCTGGATTTCTCATGTGGCCTAAATTCAGAATCATGAAAAAACAGAGCTCAAGAGCCCTCTACTCCAACCTCCCTCTCAAGGCAGGACCATCCCTGTATAAACCTTCCTAGACAGATGCTTGCCTGGCCTGTGCTTAAAACCTGCCAGTGCTGGAGATTCTCTACAACAACTGCTAAGAAGAATTCAGCCTATGTTCAGACCCAATGGGAAAGCAGGTGCAGCTCTAGGGAAGCAAGTGGATTAGTTTCTGAGCACTGGTTTGGAACTTCCTTGTGAAAGGCCTCCAGTCTATGAGACTGAGCAGCAGCCTGGATTAAAGACCAGGGCTCTGACTTTGACCTGATGGGGATACTGAGCCACTGATAGCTCATGTTTCCCTTACAGCTCCTTTTTCTTGTTCATTTAGACTTCAAGCTCCTTGGAGCAGACACCATCTCTAGTGCTTATCTAGTCCTGTGTACTCTCTGTCCCTGATCTAGATTATGGCCTCTAAGTGATGCCATAACCCACAATTACGAATGTTTGGAGCACTCTGCTGTGCTTGTTGGATGGGGGGAGGCAGGTGATGGGAGCTGGCAGGCATGTTGAATGGGGAGCCCTTGCTCTCTTTCTTTTTTGCCAGTGTACACTAGCTGCTTTCAGAGAGGCCTTTCTAAAAGAAGCAAAGGTCCCTGCACATCAGAGCCAAGCGTGCAGCCATCTGGGGTATGGATCTTAATAATAAAGCAAATTGACATTGCAGAAGAGAAAAGAGGAGCTCGGTGTTTGCCAGCAGGAGGCCCTTCTTCAGGGAATAGGTGCATTGAGGGGGGAGTGTGAGATGAAAGGAAGCAGCAGGAGAGGATCCAGATGGAGAGGCGGTGCAGCAGGCCCTGCATTCCACAGCCCGGCTGCCCCACGTGCTCCTGTTCCACTTCTGACCTCTTACCTCCTGCAAACTACATTTTTTTTGAGGTTGGGGGAGGCGGGGAGCAGCAAATGGGGAGGGAGGTGATGAAAGTTGCAAAGGAAGATGAGAGAGTGTGGCAAAGTGCTGCCTAGAGCGTCCTCTGGTTGAAAGATGTCTCTGGTATCTCTACGCGGTGCGGTAAGGGCCTCTTGTTTCTTCCATCCCAAAAGGGAAGCTGAGCAGGGGAAAGGCCAAGCACTCTTGGCCTCAGTTCAGGAGAGCTTTCATGTGGTGCTCTCCAGAAAGGCCAAGCTGTATCTGACAGCTTGGGGCTGGAGAGGGAGGGGGAGGCACAGCAGATCAGAGAACGCTTGACAGCATCTGACATGGCAAACCTCGGCTTTGCCTGGATCCTGTGTGACAGAAGACAAAACTCAGTGGGATGGACTGAGAGGCTTGAGGGGCCATGCTTACACCCAAGTAGCAGCCATATGCCATGAGTGTGTCCTGCTGTTGGGAGCTTCCTAAGAAGGGGCACTGTGAAAGAAAGATCAATCCTTCTTTTTCAGTGGTACCCTTGAGTATTTCAGCTTCAATTGCCAGCTTTGCCACAAACTTTCTGCGTGGATCTTGGGCATGCCACTTAGCCTCTATCTAGCTCAGTTTCCTGGCTGTAAAATGGGGGTAATAGGACTTCCCACCCTCACCAGGGTGTTGTAAACCTAAATGCATCAAAGAACCTGTGCTCATGGGGGCCAAACCACAGATAGGTAGAAGTGACAAGAGCAGGGTTTGGTGTCCCATTCTGTCCTAAGGCTTGCAGTTCGGGCCTCGTTCGAACAGGGTTCCCAGAACACACAGTTAAAAATAGAAAAATGAGTCTTTCCGCCACTGCCTCGGCCAGCCTCAACTGTTTCTCACAGTCCATTCCCCAGGTCTCTGCAGTCTGGGATCTGTGTTCAAGCATGTTTGCACCCATCACTGCCTGAGGAAGACGACTGCAAAGATCTTCTTGCTGGGAAGTCTTCCTGAAAGCATCACCAGCAAACCTGTGCGCAGCTGTTACAACATTGTGGTCCAGAAGGACAAGCTGATGGCTAATGATTCCTCCTGGTTTCAGGCAGTGGCTAGGGTTACAAGGGGAGATTTTTTGTTTAAAGCTGACATTAAAGTTATGTATATGCTGACTCTCTGCTGAGCCTTCAGGTGCCACTAAGAAGTAAGCCCTGCCTCCTTGCTCCCACTCTGTGCAAGCCAGAGCTTAGAAGTTAGGCAGGATAGCTGGCTTGGAGCACATGCAAAGAAGTGTGCCCGACACAGAGAGACCTAGATTGGCTCTAGTAGGTCTAGAGTGCTTTGGTGTGTACCAAGCAGGAGTCAATAGGTGGCACTAACTTCTCAGTGGGGCTCCTGTTCTTGTCCCGGGATCAGTGCAAACATGACCTACAGGTCCTTTTCAACAACACTCAGCAGGGTGGTAGGGGTTGCAGTAACACAATGGTGAGGACAATATAAGAAATCAGAGAGAACAGAAAATAACTAGTATCACTGAAGTGTGGCACATGAGTCACTGTCCATGCTGTTTGGTGTGGGGCTGGTATCAACCGTAAAGGAGGCTATCAAGGGCAGCCCTATATTAGGGTGTTGGAGAATCAGACCAATCAGCCCACTGCTAAGAGTAGGGGTGAGTTGTATAACCATTCATATATTTATTTGCACTGTGCTGCCTGCCTAGCTAGCATCAGCTAACTGTCGTGTAGAAATCAGTACAAGGCAGGCCTTAAAGACTGAAAAGTGTGATAGAAAACATGGCAGAAGCTAAACCGAGCTAAGTTGCTGCTGGCTGTGATGGTGACTGGACCACTGCAGGATGGGTCATAACAGAAAAAGAGCCATCTCATGGGAGGGAGGAGGAGCGGGTGCTGTGTCAGGCAGTTGTTGTCTGGTGGCTGCACCTGGCTTTGATCCCACTCCCATCTGGGTTAGCCTTGTTCCAGTACACCACCGCCAGGCTAGTTTTGGGGTTGGAGCAGGAGGAACTGAAAGAGGCTGCACAGAGGATAAGTGGGAGGCCGGGGGCTGGGGGTAGTGTGAGGGGACACTCACCTGGGCATAGTTCTCCGCTCGGGTTAGGAGGGGCAACTCATAGGCTGTTGAGAAGTGGGTGCGAACTTGCTGCATCTGACCAAACCGCTCTCGCTTCCTCCATTTTGCTCGCCGGTTCTGGAACCAAACCTATGGGGGGAGAAGCACAGATACCCCAGATCAGAGAGAGGGGAAGGCAGAGCTCCTTAGGAAGAAGCAGGGAGTGCGAGCTCCCAGAGCAGTAGCCTGGGGGACTAGAGACCCTCTTCCAGATAATGCCTCTCAGGGTACTACCCACAGAGCTTTGCAACAGAAGTCTCAAAAGTAGGATGGGAGGAGGTCTGTTTTAGAAGTGGGGACTTCAGACAATGAAGATGGGGGGAATGTGATTACTCATGGCAGCACTCAAGCTTCCTAATCCCAGTTTGAGGTTTTTATGTACCCACTTATGCCCATAAATCAGTCACACAACTAACATAGATGTCGATCAGTGGACCCTCAGTGTTGGGTGAACTGACTGATTGGTTTTGGCTAGAAGCAATTTCATACCTGCTGGACTAGAAGGAATGTCCTCAGGGCAAACTTCCCTTTAGCACTGGTGAATCCTACCCAGGAACCATTTAAAAGGCAAGAGATTTAAAATGTCATCTGTTCATTTTGCACCCACTACCTGTCAGCTTTCTTTCATAATCCACTTAGACCAGGGCTGTCCAACCTCTGAGCCCCTGGGGGCCATATGCCTGACAGCTGCACCAGTGGGGTTGTATGCTGTGTGGGCTGCACAGAAGTTACTCCTCTCCACTACTACTGCAGTGTGCACCAGCATGATCCCCCCTTCCACTGCTACACCCCAGGGTGCAATCCCCCCTCCCCCCCCACACACACATGTGATCCACATCCATGGCCTCTCTCCCATGATGCAGTCCTGGACTGTCAGCTCCCGGTGCTGCTGCACTGTCCCCCACCCTGGGGCAAAGGCAGGAAGTTGCAGCTGGAGCAGTAAGGGCAGCAGCAATAGGGTAAATGCCCAAGGGTCACACTTTAAACCCTCACAAGCTACATGCAGCCTGCAGGCAGCCAGTTGGACAAGACAGCCCTTACTTGGGCAATGACATTAATTTGGTTGGTTTCCCTTTCTGTTTTGGGGCAGTTTCCTTCCCTGGGTATCACACAGGAGACCACTAGCTGCTATTTTGAGTTTCCAACCTCTGGGGAATTTGTCAATCCAAAGGAAAATGTCTCCACAAAACCCATAAAAACATCTCTGCTCCCATGAACATCCCTGTCCTTGGAAATGAGCTCTCTGCTCACATAAATAGTAGGAAAACACTTCCTAATTCAAGAAAAGAGACTCTCCTTTGCATGTACAGGAGTGGGGTTTATTTCGGGTAAACCTGGGGTTTCTTCCATTGTTGTACAGGGGGTTTCTGTGGGAGCTGTAGGAAACCACTGGGGAAAAAAAAATTTCAATAAAGGAACTACTACACCGGGCATGTCTGTACCACCTCTGCCCATGCCAGGCATGTTGCTATGAACATATTCCTTACCCAGTCACTACTACTCCATACATGCCCAATGCCAAAAAAATGGAACATAGTTGCGGTTTGGCATGTGCTCAGGGTGCATACAGTACTACCCTTCTACATTTAGTCTCATATGTGCAAGCCCAGCCCTTCTGGCAATATATTTCACATCATTGGCATCTGGTGCCTGTGGAGCAAGTGTGAGTGGGTAGGGTGTGGCATGATTGAAGGAGGTATACCCCCTGCAGTGTGACCTGAGCCATGTCCCTTTAAAGAAGATAATCCTGAAGCATTGCACGAAGCCGCTGTATGGATTTATTCATTCTTTTTGCCTCATGTTGAAGAGCCAAAGGAAATGTCAGGCCAGCAGCCTGAAAATCTCAGGTTGTACGCTCATCTATTGTGCACCTGGCAGTAGAACTAGCTTCTTCCACATTACTCCTCAGTGTCTGGGAAAGAAGATGCACTGGGCTGGTCAAGCTCTCCAGGCCCTTCTGGGGCTGATGGATGTTTCTTCCCAAGACCTCAGCCTCACCCTAGCCAAACCTCTGTAATTCAGTTAATATGACTGTTATTAAGCTGTCTGTTTCCCTAGTCCCACACAATCACCCGCCTCAGCTGAGATGAACCCAAACCCCCTGAATCCAAGAGGCGACAATATCCAGCAATATCCAGACACTTAAGTGAGCACTCACCCTTTCAGCCATCTCTCAAAGTAAGTTCAAACTAAATAGGTTGTATATTGCACCTGAGGACAGATCAGTGGCCTGGGACCCAGGACACTTTCTGAGTTATAATCCTAGATTCATAGATTATAAAGGACCTCACAAGATCATTGGTTCCAGCTCCCTGTACTAGGCAGGAAAGACAACTGTGATCAGGTGACTGTCCAGTTTCCTCTTGAAGATTTCCAGGGTAGGTGATTGTAGCACCTCTGGAGGGAGTTTATTCCACAGTCTGGACACCCTAGCTGTGAAGAAGTTTTTCCTAGAGCTAAGCCTGAAGCTGTCTTCCAGGAGTTTGTGGCCATTACTCCTGGTTTTCCCCCAAGAGTGCCCTGGTGAACAGCTGTTCACCAAGCCCTTGATATAGCAGTAAGCTGCTACCAAGTCCCCTCTCAGCCTTCTCTTTTTAGGCCGAACAGGCCCAAGTCACACAGCCTGTCTTCTCTGGACTCTCAAGTTTTTCCACGCCTTTGTTGAAGGGCAGCACCCAGACCTGGACATAGTACTCCAGATTTGGTCTCACCAATACTGAGTAAAGCAGAAGAATCACTTCCTAACTTGAAGGCTGAAGACTCATGGCCAATAGCAGGATCAAACCAGGGACCTCGGTATTATTAACACCACATTTGACCAACTGAGCTAACCACTCCCCTGAATCTCCTTTTGCTTTCTTCTGGGGACTTGGATAACAATGTTTTTCTCTGAAGATAAAGGCGCAATGGGATCTAATGCCCCATTCACACAATCACATGTCCTGCCTTGCCATACATGCATAGCAGGAGGCACGATTGTGGGATTGTGCATTAGATCCCATCATCCCCCTTTGTCGGTGGAGGGGGAGCCTGGTAAGAAGCAAGCTCCCGCAGCTGGGAGCCCCATGCACCCCAGTTGAGGGGCTCCTAGCAGTAGGGTGTCCTATATACCCTGTGGTGGGAGGATCATGGTCTCCCCACCCTAGGGATGCAGGAAACCCCTGGGGCCAGAGGATCACCTAGGGTGATCCCCATGCCCTGGGGATGCAGGAAGCTCCTGGGGCTGGAGGATCAATTCTATGGCAGTGCTCGGGGGTTCCCCACACCCTGGAACCCTAGGGATTGCAGAACTGCAATCCCCAGGGGTTTCATGCTGGGCATGGTGCACCCCTGCAGTTGGGAATCCTGTCAGTGATAGGACTCCCAGCCACAGGGGAAACCCTGCTACCCGTGCAAATTAAAGCTTGATAGCAACCAGCAATAAAGTTATTACACATTTTCAAGGTCTAATTTTATAGCTGGTTGAAGCTTTTTATGGCATAATAGCTACTTTGCATGTGTAGCTAGTCTCCAGGTAATTGTGCAACTAACTAGGTAATTGTGCCATACCGGTAACGTGTAGAGGGGGACTCAGATTTTCATCCTCATAACAGGACATAAAAACTCTCCTTTCCAAAGAAAATGCAGTGAAGGTTTGCATAGTGCTTTAGAAGATCATCTGTCACAGATACTCCCCCCTGGCTTTATACCTACTTATCTATTCAGTTTTAATAACTGTGTAGCTGAAGTTCATTTGTTCAGGTCCCTTCTGGGCATTGGGAAGCCTAAGAAAGAGTCTGATTCTGATCTGCCTTTTCCTGGCTTGACATCAGTGTAACAGTGCTGATTTCCAGCAGATCCTTCCTGCTTTACACCAGTGTACATAGGAGCAGAGCCAGCCCCTGCGTTCAAAGTCCCCTAAAGCAGGGAGTCAGGGAAACACATCCATCAAAGGCTGCCTTGAAGACTCTGCAAGATACGTGTGATCACCAGGCACTGGGATGTGCAGGTCACGCTGGTGCATGAAAGCAGCTACCCGGAGCCCTTGCTCTCTGCTTTGAGTTTTATACAGTGACTCAGGGGGCAGTGAGCTCTGACAGCATACAGACTGGATGGGAGAGGGGGGATGGGAACCAGGGAAGGCAGCTCCTTTGCTTATGAGCAACCTCCAAAAATTGGCTGAGCAGACAGTGAAAACCAGACTTCTCCTTGGACACAAACTATCTATGCAGACACCAAAACAAGATGGACACTGACTGCAGTCAGAGGACACAGGCCAGCCTTTACAGGAATGGTAATGAACATTACTAGGGAACATGGGTGTTGGCTATGTAGTTTGTGGCATATAGCAGCATGTCTAGTAGTTGGCACACAGAAGGGGGCAGCCAGACTTCTGGGTTTCAGCTCTGGCTACCTCACTACCCTGTTGTGAACAGATCTCTTAAACTGTGCTGTGCCTCAGTTTCCCTACCTATTAAATCAGGTCTCAACGGGTTTCCAAACTCCAACAGCCATTGTAAAGCTTCAGATGTTAACATTTTTAATGGCTTGAAACTGTGGGATAAAAAATACCTAAACAATGACCATGACGGAGGGTGCTCCCAAAACTGCCTGTTTCTTCCTGCAGGAGCTTGTCTGGTGAGCTGGAATTGCTTTTTTCCAGCATCCAGTCTTGATCTCCTTTTTGTCTACTGATGGGTGCCCCAGTGACTAGGCATTTCTTTACCATGTGGGTTGGGGATGGGTTAGCACTTATTCAAGGAGAGGCATGGCAGTCCTGCATACATGTGCAGTGCCGTCCTCCATGAAACCTTCCCACTGCAGCCTTCTCAGCTGAGATCTTGTCCTAGGCAAATTTGTATGCTGTGCTGTAACTAGCAACCCCCACCTTACAGCCATTGGCAGGATTTTCATGGGGAGCAATGAAACCAAACAACAAAGACTCTAAAATATATAGAGAGACAGAGAGAAAGAGGGAGAGGGAGACCTTAATTTGATTGGCATTCTAATGGAGCAGGTTTGGTGCCCCAGGCATCTGTCTGTTTTGCTTATACCACTTTCTGGCGCAGTCCCCAAGCAGCCCAGCTGGAGGCCAGTCCCAGGGATGGCCA